AGGTGCATTGCTTTACCCAAGCACAGTGCAGTGTAAGACCCATGATTGGGCAAAGTAATGATGACTTTTCCCAATCATAGCTCACACAGATAAGTCCTGTGAGGTGCCGGACAAATGTAAACAGTTGGGCGGAGCTAGCTAGCTGTCACTGCCCAATTGTTTATATTTGCCGTCATCTGTCAGAATGCCATTCTGCGGCTGGAGTTCGTCGCGGCCGGACGGGTCGGTGGGCTTTCTGGGTCTTTTTGATTATTTCTATTTGTTTTTCTTTTATTTTGGCAAGTCGCTATCATCGTGGACTGACTTGTTGAGGGTATTAAAGTCTTCAGCTAGATATGTAATCTGCTTTGTGGGATCCAGACAGCTCTTCTTGTGGTTGATTAAATAGCCAAAACTGGTTAACATGTTCACTCTTGTGTTCTTGATCTATGACCTGTTTCCAGAAACTCAAAGAAGGAGGCAAAGATTTGTTCCATACCTGAAGAATAGTTGTTTTTTTTTGCATAGAAAAAAATTCTAAGGAGACGTTTGGTATATGTCTATTGAGAGGTCCCCTAGTAAACTAAGCAGGCAAATAATTGGGGTTACAAATGTTTGGTAGGCCCACGGTCATTTCCAAAAAAGCAGTGATCTTGAACCAAAAAAGCTTTCTCTGAACTTTGTAGCTTCCCTTGTTTCTCTCATTAGTCACTATTTAAATGGTCCCATCATCCACATTTAGAATATTCCACTTCCTGGTATAAATATTTGAGAGACTGTTCCAGCAAGTTTTTTTTTTGTTTGTTTTTTGTTTTTGCATATACCTAAGTGTTTTATGTATAGGTCAGAGCTGATACAGATCAAACGGAATGCCAGAAAAGGGCATTCGTTTAGAGCAGGGATAGCCAAACTTCAGGCCTCCATTTGTGGTGAACCTACAAATCTTACAATGCATCTGCTTCTGGAAGTCATGCCTAGGGCTGCCAGAGTCGTGCATTGCCTTATAGGATTTGTAGTTTCCCTGACTGCTCCATGTCGGCATTCGAGTGGGTATGGGCCCCCCCCATCTGATAGGACTAATTGCACATAAATTTGAGCCTCCCCCCAGCCAATGTGTTCCTTCTTTTTCCTCCTATTGGAGTCTGATAGGATGGTGGCGGTCGCTTACCTGGCTGAGGTAAATCCTTGGCTGTCCACCCCTTCTCTGGATTCTGGGTGTTGTCCTCTCTCCATATCCACTGGTGGATCTGTAGAGGAGCCTCTCTACTGGTCTCTGAGGCTGTGTTAGACCGGTAAAGCCGGTTCACGTATAGAGGGGGAGGCAGGAGCTGTCCTGTACGGTGGCTTGCGGCTGGCTATGGCGGCGCCTGTGTTCAGTGTACACGGGGGCGGAATCTGTAGTATGGAACCCATGGATGCGTTCCACGCCTCGCTCTGATTCTGTGCGGCGCATGCGCAGTGCGGCGGGCGCTGTTGGGGGCGTGGCGGCTTAATGTCATTTTTCTCTTTTTAAACGGGAAGCCGCGAGGTGTTCGCTCTAGCCGGTGCTCTGCCTTGCTGCGCGTCTGGTAGCTGCTCTTGGTGATCTCTGGCTGTTGCAGGTAGGATCCCTGTGGGGTTTTTTCTACTTTTCTTTGTGTGCCTTTGCAGAGGACTGATTGTTTCTGTATTTTGCTTGGTACCTGTAGCCACATGCCCCATTATGCCCAATGACAAGCCAAACCCTGTGTCAGACCAGCATCCGCAAAGAAGGTAAGCGGCCGTCCGCCTGGCGTGCTTTGTTTTGTTCCAGAATTGGATTGTTGACATGGGTCTGTCTTTTATTTTTATTTTTTTATTCATCCAGGTCCCATAGGGATCATTCACGTTCACGAAGAGCAAGGGATATTTCGTCTTCATCTTCAAGATATGAGTGATCCTCCAGAGATCGGCGGGCCGCTAGCGGTGATGGTAGGCGACGTCTTGTGTCACCTTCGGTGGAACATCATGCCCAGCCTGGGCGTAGTCGATTTCCGCAGCCTCACCCTGATCAATGCTGGTCGTGCAGTAATCCTGCCTTGCCTGGCAAAACGGCGTGCGAGGTCTGTTTCCGTGAGTCAACAAGGGACAGGTCAGCGGACAACTTGCAGGTTGTGACCCTGATGAAGCAAGTTTTTCAGGACTCACTCGGAGAGTTTGTGGCCTGTACCCAGTCCACCTCAGGGTCGCAGGCGGTTCCCTCCCACCAGGTTAGTCGTCAGGCTGAGCCGATGGGGGTGTCCCGGGATGAAGACCCTAATTCTGGCTCCGAAGGTGAGGCCTCTAGTTCGGAGGTAGATGTGGCTGATAGGTTTTACTTCACCCTGGTCCAGCCCTTCGTGAAGGCCGTGCGGCAGGCCTTGCTGTGGGAGGATGAGGCTCGCGAACCAGATAAAAAGAGGCGACTATTCAAGCATCTGAAGAAGGAAGCTCTCAGGTTTCCCTTTTTGACGGAACTCAAGTAGATGATTGCTGACGAATGGAGTCAGGGGGAAAGAAGTCTTCCTTCCGTAACCGCTTCACAAAATTGTATCCTTTCAGAGGGGAGGATTTTAAAGACATGGAGGTAGCCCCGGTTGTTGATGCGGCAGTGATGCGGTTGGCAAGACATGTGACCTTGCCCCTAGATGACGCTGTGTCCTTCAGGGATGTCCTGGATCGCCGCATAGACTTTGACCTTAAAAAGGTCTTTTCAACGGCTGGCTCTGGCTGTAAACCGGACTTTTGCCTTGACCACAATGGGACGTTGGCACTCCCCCTTGAAGGGCATGGTCTCTAATGTACTGGAGCTGAGGGCAGCCTTCCAGGCCCTCCTGGCCTTCCGGACTCACATCCGGTCCCACTCGGTCCTTCTGAAGATGGACAACGTCATGGCAGTGGCTTACGTGAGGAGGCAAGGGGGGACTCGCAGTCTCGGGCTTCTGTCAGAAGTTGCACCGATTTTGTCATGGGCACATTCCAATCTCTTGAATCTCACCGCCATTTATGTGCCAGGCCGTCTCAACCTTCAGGCGGATTACCTCTCCCGGACTCGCCTAGACAACAACGAGTGGTCCCTATCACGACTGACCTTCCAGAGTTTGACAAGGTGGGCCTTTCTTCCCCAGGTGGATATGTTTGCGACTCGGGAGATTGCCAAACTCCCGAAGTTTGTCTCCAGGTTTCCGTGTCCCCGAGCGGTGGCGACGGATGCACTCACATCGGAGTGGAATTTTCAGACGGCATACGCCTTCCCACCCATCCCGCTCATCCTCGCCTTCTTGAAGAGACTGTGGGGAACGAGTCATGATTCTGGCGGTGCTTCCCAACTGGCCGAAAAGCCCCTGGTATCCTCTCCTGCGGCAACTCGCAGTGAGGGACCCCTTCCCGATCCCGGTGTCAAAAGACTTGATGACCCAGGGTCCGCTTCTCCATCCTGGACCCTCTGGTGGTGAAGTTTTTTAAGGCAGTTCTGAGAGTCCAGCCTCCGAGAAAACCATTATTCCCCAAATGGGACCTTCCCTTGGTCCTCGACTTTCTGGCCTCTGCATAATTCTGTACGGACTTGTCTCTCTGGAGACTGACGTTGAAAACAGTCTTTTTGGTAGCTATCTCCTCGGCCAGGAGAGTATCCGAAATTGCTGCACTAGGTTGCACAGAACCATTCACCACCTTCCTGGCCGATCGGGTTAGGGGCCCATACCCACTCGTATGCCGACATGGAGCCGTCAGGAAAGGAAAATTGCGGTAAGTATGAAATACAATTTTCCTGTTTCACCACAGTTGGAGGGCTGAAGTCTGGCTACCCCTGGTTTAGAGTAATACCTGATGCAACCTTATTTTGCTCTACATGTATTGCTGTCATTCTTGAATATTTTTGTTTACTTAGTCAATTGCCATGCACAACGTTGTACTACGCTGTTACCAGGGCCGATTCAAGGCATCGGAGGGCTCTGGGCAAAAAAATATAATAGTGGTCTCAGGAGGGCTTTTTTTTTATATCTGGGAAAATAGGGTTTGCATCTCAATAGCAGTATTACAGCAAACAAATCAACAATGACATTTTTTACTGAGCTATTATGTAGTTCTGCCCCTAACTCCAAGCTGTAGAGGGACTACATTTTTCAGCAATACATTATCTAGTAATGCAGAATAGCAATGGCTATAGAGGACTACAAATCCCAGCAATACATTATAGAGCAATACAGAAAAATACCATTAGCTGTAGATGACTACAAATCCCAGCAATTCATTATACAGCAATGCAGAATAGCACCAGCTATAGTGGACTACAAATCCCAGCAATACATCATAAAACAATGCAGAATAACACCACCCGCTATAGAGAACTATAAATGCCAGCAATGCATTATACAGCAATGCAGCAAAAGTATATGGATTTACTGCATACTCTGTGCTACTGCTCTGTTCCAGGATGCCAGCCTGATGTTTCAGGCAGAGGGTCTCAGGAGGGGTACAGAAGGTCTCAGGAGGGGTACAGAAGGTCTTTTGCCATGCACAGCAGTGTGGGCTGCTGTGCTGTTGTAGAGTTCCGTCCATATGTGCATTGCTTGTACAGCTCCCATGCCAGGAGCCAGAATGTGATGTCACTCCAGTTCAGGCACCTCTACAGGACATGCAAGGGAGCTATAAGCAATGCACATATGGATGAAGCTCCCTCACATCCATGCCCCCAGCCCACAACACGTCAAGTCGACACTCTGCGCTGGGCAGCATATTTTGAATGGCTGCTCAGTGTGAGAATGGTCAGTACTGCTCTAGGGGGAAGCTGAGGAGCCTCTCAACTACAAAAGTGGAAGGCATGCGGCGACCCACTGAACATGGGGCTGCGACCCACTTTTGAACCCACCAGTTCAAAACCAAGGCTCTACAATATCCATTATATAATATGAACAGTGACTCAAGGTATGAGTAACAGCCTTTTGAGTAACAGCCATCTGTTACTCATAAGGCATCCCAAATCATACATTGTAATATAACATATAACAGGTCTTGCTGAGCTTTTAGTATGAACTATATTGACACTCTGGATATCTGTAGGCAAATCGGGGATCACATGCTCGCCATGGCCTCAATATGTTTAATAGTTTCTCAGATATTTTGCGGGCCTCCAGGTCAGTGATAAGATTATGTGAACAGACTCCAAGAAACTCGTCGATTTCTTGTTGAGTGGAAGGAGGAAACTTTCCTGAAATCAAATAAGGGAGAAGGTTTTTACACAGCAGAATGAGATTCTGCCTCTCACTAATGTCGGAGCAAGATGATAATCTTGGTGGACAGTCAGATGACAAGCAGCTAAATATATCAGTTTCCTCAGTGTTTCTGTCTCTGCCTGGTTTTCCTGAAAAATAAATTAAATAATGCATTATGATAACGATACATTATGAATGATACTGGCAATAAAATAATGATATTCTATGTAAACAGTAACACATGCAAGCAGGTTTTGTTTCAGTAAGGCAGAGCAGTCAGAGATGACAGGGTTGAAAAAAGACACAGGTCTATCAAGCTCAAGCTCTGTGTGTGTATTTGTGAGTTGTATGTGTTTGATCCAGAGGAAGGCAAAAAAACAGCCCTACACACATACCTACATAATATATATATTATAAGGATAAAAGAAAATTCCCCTTACTGGTGATTGGATAAATCCCTAGATTAACCTCCTATGTAATTTAAAGCTGAACTCCAGGTATACATGTTTATGTATACTGATATTGGTCCAGCGTTGCCCAGTATAAGTATACATATTTTATACCTGGTATGTTCACGGGATCCTGAAAAACACTATAGTAGCTGGAGCTACTGAAGTGCTTTATGGCAATCTTCCAGGTCCTGGTACTGCTGCTGGTAATAGACAGAGACTCTCAGCTAATACTGCTTCTTGGAGAAGAGAGCTCCACATTTTACTGCTCTAACAGTGAAGAACCCCTTCCTTAATTTAGGAGGAATTTTCTTTTCATCAAATCTTAAATTGTGGCCACGTGCCTTCTTTAGGGACCTTGGTACAAAGTCGAATTTCTTAGCACAATCCAGATATAGTATATTTACTGAGATTCTCGATTCTTACTCAGTTCAGCATAAAATGATGAGAGGTTAGTCAGACAAGAGCAATTTTTCATAATACCATGCTGGTTGTTATTTATGATACCGTTATCACTAACAAATTCATGAATAGGCTCTTATCAGCCTCTCAAATATGGTACATACTATTGATGTCATGCTTACTGGACTGTAATTTCCTGACACGCATCTCAACCATTTATTGGAATCACATTTGCTTCATGTCAATCAGTTGTTACCATTCCCAGGTGTCCATAAAAATTGGAATCAATGATCTGGCTAAAACAGAGTAAAGGCTTCCGGTTCCGGCGCCTGATGTAGTGGTCGCAGAGTGAGGAGCTCCCGCACAGCCAGGGCTAAACCCAATATAAAATCATACCTCGATACCGAAAACGAACCGTGCTGCCTCCCGTCATAGTGACTACACCCTCAGGAACATGGACAAGTTCCTTGCTAAACGCAGAACAGGTATACGCGGCAAAGGCACTCCGGTCCGGAGCAAACGACTCCAGGCACAGCCCAAGATGGCCGCCACTCTGGACATGAGAGATATCAGTGCCTCGTCGGAAGAAGACATATCAGCTCTATCCGACCATAGCCTGATAGCAGCTGAGGTAGCCAAGTTGCTCCGTCCTACCATACAGGATGCAGTCAACAGGGCGGTGGGCAAGGGCATACAGTCTCTGCGACAGGAGCTATTACAACAGGCCCAAAGGATTACTGAAGCGGAATCCCGGATAGCAGCCCTGGAAGAAGGATCAGATTCCTCGATTGCCCACCTGCAATCCAACACTAAACAAGTCCAACTCCTCTTAGACAAGGTGGACGACCTCGAGAATCGTTCTCGTCGTAACAACATAAGGATCGTAGGCTTACCGGAGTCATACCGACCATCGATGTTGGCATCTATATGCGAAAACAACATACCGGATCTTCTGGGCCTGGATCCAAGGTTGAGCGTGCACACCGAGTGGGGCCTCCCAACCCCAAGCGGAAGGGTCCGTGCCCCATAATAGCCCGATACCTGGACTACACAGATCGCCTGGCGGTCATGCAAGCCTTTCGCGCCCAAAAGGAACTCCATCTGGATGGTCATCGTTTGCTTATCTTTGCGGATTACTCGGCGCAGGTCACCAAGAAACACAAAGCATTCAGTAGAGCCTGTTCCATTTTATTTCAAAAAAGGATCAGATTTACTCTGGCCTATCCGGCTACTCTTCGCTTTCAATCGGAAGATGGATCTCCTTTAGCCTTCCAGGACCCCGAGGCGGCTATCATCTACGTGGAGAAGCTGAGATCCCCCTATGTATCCAAGCCGAGCGGCAGGTCTCCTCTTCCCCAACGCACTGCCACCCCAGCAAGGAAATCAGCGGTGCGATTACCGATGACACCCACTGACTCTCCCTGAACCGGGGCAGATGCGCTCTATTAATGTTGCAATAAAGGTACGTCGGCCATACATGTATCATGGATAGAGCAGCCTATCTAATGGCACCCAGTTTTTTTTCTGTTTTTTTTTCCTGTCGGTTTGGCTGGGATACTTGCAGGGGGACACAGGTACTGTTGTTGTTTAGTAGATACGGACGTTACTTCAAGATGAATACAGCGTTGTTGTACTCATAGGAAATTCGAAGATGCCAATCTCCTTGTCAGGAATGGGACTAGAGGTACTTCTCTAATCACTACAAACTTTCCTGGGTTTATGCCCACAGCTTAGCGGAAGCATTCTGGCTCACTTTGTAGGGCTATAGAGGGAAAAAAGTGAAGTCACGAAATGAATACTGTTGTTCGATTGTTTTACGTTGTTTTTTTTTATGTTCTGTTGTTTTTCCGGAACTCAGGGTTATGGTCCTGTTGACCGACAACCTCTAACGCACAGTCAAGATATATGCAAATATGAACCAGTGCTTTTCTAAGACGAAAGTTAATATGACCGTATTACATGCAGGTTTCTATGGTACACATGACACAAAGGTCTTCCAAGCCTCCACCACCAGGGGGTGCGAGAGTCACTTTCTCTAGTAAATATGTTATTCTCTTTTTTTTGCCAAGCACTAAGATGTTAAATTTGTATAAGCTTTCATATGTTTATTCCCAACTGGCTCGCAACCTAATCTAAGAGTCATCTCCTGGAACATCAATGGCTTGAGATCCCCGGCAAAACGCATTATGGTCCTCCGTCATCTCAAAAAGATGTAAGCAGATATAGTACAATTACAAGAAACCCATCTATCCCGGGAGGATATAAGTAGGCTACAGAAAATGTGGGTGGGAGAAATTATCAGTTCCCTTCAATACAACTTAGAGCTGGTAGATGCAGACCAAGAAGGGCGTAAATTGAGAGTTAAAATTAGGACTCACAACAAACTATTATCGCTATTTAATGTATATTTTCCAAATAAGCCAACAGCCACCTACTTCCAGGAGACGACTTCATGGATACTGCAAGACGATAATCCAAATAAACTCGTAGGGGGTGACTTTAACTCCGTCACGGTCCAGAAGGAGGATAGAACAGGCAGGGGAAACCTTAAAATGGGATTTGGTATCCCCACCCACACTCCTTTACATGACCTGGCAACCAATGCCAATCTCGTGGATGTCTGGAGGGTCAGGAATCCCCTGGAACGTGAGCACACTCATTATTCTTCTGTACACGCCTCCTTTGCCAGATTGGACTACTTCCTGGCAACGGAAACGGTGGACTCCCTAGTCACTGATACAACACTGTATCCTATAGCCATAGCGGATCACGCGCCCATCCTAATCCAGCTACAATCTTCCCCTCCAAGGGGCGATTTTTTTATATGGCGCTTCCCATCTCATTTATATGCGGAAGCATCGTTTAAAATGATGCTGGAGGAGGCTTGGCGAGAATACGAGTCATTTAATTATGCACATAAAGACAACCCTAATTTGTATTGGGAAACCGCAAAGGTTGTACTGCGGGGGAAAATAATGGCGTATGTTGCTGCCAGAAAAAGGAAAGCCAGAGCTCAATTTCTTAAAGCTAGTTCGTCCCTTCGCCTAGCACAGTTACGATATGCACGAACCGGATCAGCAGAACTTAGTGAAACGTGGAGCAAAGCAAAGCAGGACTTTGAAAGCTGTAACACACAACAAAACCTATATTATCATACACACAGCAAATTGAAATTCCACAAATTTGGAAATAAATCGGGGAAAATGATGGCTAACTTGGTTAGACAACGCACTACGAGATTACACATAAAATCCATACGAGCGGGAGAGGGGAGTACCACCTCCGACCTGAAGCAAATTAATCAGATCTTCGAAAAAGTTTACAGTCAGCTGTACTCGGCTACACACGCAAATAAGGACATAGGTGATCTCTTTTTGAAGTCGGTTTCGCTGCCCAAAATTCACAGTGAAGAAATGTCTCTTCTTAATGAGGACATTTCCTTAGAGGAAATTCAGAGGGCTCTGAAATCTTCATCCAATGGTAAATCTCCAGGTCCGGATGGGTACTCGAACAAATTTTTTTAAATGCTTCAGGAGGATGTGACCCCAACATTGCTCAAGGTTTTCAATGACATGTGGAAGGGAGGAGAATATTTAAAGACAGGCTCAGAATCATATATTAAATTACTGCCCAAAAAAGACAGAGACCCGACTCTTCCTGGCTCTTATAGGCCCATATCACTGATAAACGCGGACGCAAAACTGATGTCGAAAATTATAGCGGACAGATTGGCAAGGATTTTACCACGTTTAATATCCCCAGCCCAAGTAGGTTTCGTTAAAGGAAGGTCGGCGGTAGCAAATGTGCGCAAAATACTAGCAGTTCTAGAGTATGCTAAAGGACACCCTAATTCTCCCCTAGCCCTCATTTCAATAGATGCCAAAAAGGCTTTTGATAGCATCCAATTCTCCTGGTTATACAGAGTGTTAGATGGGATGGGGTTCTCAGGAAGGTTCACTACTTTTCTGTACAATGTACGCCTCCCCATGTGCACGCATTTTTACACCGGGAAACATCTCCAACCGAATTCCCCTTCTAAGGGGAACCAGACAGGGATGTCCACTGTCTCCGTTGCTGTTCAATCTGGCATTGGAACCGTTGTCATTATACTTTCAGGGTGCTCCGGACCTCCATGGGATCCCATTCCAAAAAACGCAACTTAAAATAATGTTGTTTGCCGACGACATTATATTATTCTCCAATAATCCAGCCAGTGACGTACACTTTATTCAGGACACGTTTCAAACATACCAAAAATTTTCGGGACTAACCATAAACGCACCCAAATCGAACATACTACCTTTAACATCTCGAGCGTCGGCCACGTTAGACCACTCGCTCATATTCAACATTGCCAAGGGATCCATAAAATATCTTGGCCTACACATAGGCACTACTCCATCTTCACTGTATATACTCAATTATCCCCCTCTCTTTGACAAGATAAGGAAGGAGCTGGTGGCGTGGCGGGACCTCCCCCTCTCGCTTTTCGGCAGAATACACCTAATCAAAATGGTATCTTTTGCCAGGTTACTCTATCCCATGCAAACGCTACCTCTTCTCCTGAAACATAAGGATGTCACATCTCTCAACAAAAGCTTTTCTGCCTTTATATGGCAGGGGAAAAGGGCAAGGATTGCCCTACGAAAATTATTTCTGCCGAGGGGCGAGGGGGGAATGGCTTTTCCCAACACCAGGCTATATAACTTAAGTTGTCTCCTCAGACACTCAGTGGATTGGATAAGTTCAACATTGTTTTATTCTAACTTCCAATTGGAATCCGAGATGGCCCTCCCTTGGAGGCTCTCCTCCTTGCTACACAGCCCGTTCACCACTATTCCCGTTTCCCTCTGCACAAACGTTCTCATAAGGGACACAGTAGTGGCATGGAGAGAAGCCCACAAGATAGCGAAATTAAACCCATACTTCTCCCAACACCTACATATTAGAGGGAACCCAGCATTCCCACAGGGGGAGGAATACAGAGCCTTTGGCAGATGGGAATCCAAGGGGATCTCGAAATTTATACGTCATGTCCAAGGACACTGGAAAATTGCTCACCTTCCCAGAATTCAGAGTCAAATACCGAATATCCAATCAGGAATATCTACATTACGCACAGGTTACTGCACATATCAAGAAATCTAATTATGCATTTCCCATTTCCTCCGCTAATACACTTATGGACAGGATTCTCTCGGAAGGAAAAAAGTCTATATCTGACATTTATTCCTACCTGAGGCAGGCGAATGTTCATCCTCTGACTGATTCAACCATGATGAAATGGCAGGAAGATATCCCCACAGATCAGATAGCTGAAAAACTGCTAAAGGGTTACCGCACTACATGTAAAGCGATGGTTAACGAGCAGTGGAGAGAAACGCAATTCAAAATTATGCATAGGGCATATTATGCTTTCCAAATTAAATGCAAGCAGGGCATGGCCAAGGATTACTTGGACCACTGCCCCAAATGCAAGCTAAAAGCGGCCTCTTTCTTCCACTGCTTATGGGAATGCCCTATGATACGGACGTTCTGGGCCAAGGTAGGAGACTTTATTACATTGGTAGTGGGACGCCAGATTCCAATGGAAGTTCTCTTGCTCCTGTTCAATTTCTGGGATAACCCCACAGAATTCAATAGACATCAAAGACATTGGATAAGCATTGCCTTGCTGGCAGCCAGGAGAGGTATACTGAGAGAGTGGTTGGCCCCCAATCCCCCCACAATTCAGGGCCTGCGTGCAGATCTCCTCACTTTACTCCATTTAGAGAAACTTGACGCAGAAATATCAATAACTGATGATAAAAAAACAGCTTCCCTATATGACAGGTGGTTACCTTATATTAATATAGTCTTCACGCAAGAGGAAAAAGATACATTCTTATCTCCATTCAAATACACTTCAAGTGCTCTAATCGCACAGCTGAACGGTTAGAAGGATGCGGTAGCCTTATGATGTATATTCACTATCATCAAAGTTGATGTCATAATCTGCACTTGACTTCTCTGTTATGTGTTAGTAACAATTGAACTGTTTGTATCTGACTAACTGTGTCAAAGAATGTTTACAAAAAATGACTGTCATTATCTTTAACCAAAAAATAAAAGGAAAACAAAAATGTTTTGAAAAAAAAACAAAAAAAAAACAGAGTTAAGTTCTCTGAAGACTTGTGGGTGTAAGCTATCTGGCCTTTGAACCTGGATTTCTGTAAGCCACAGAGGTACATTAAAGGAGAAGTATGGGGTCAGGGCTTTTCCCCATAGTTCTCCTAAGGGTCACGGGAGAACACAAACTAGCGTTCTCCCGTGACCCAAAGCTCAGTATATCGAGAGCTACAGCTCGCGGTATACTGAGACGCCGCAGCTGGGATGGATCCCGGCATTGCTGTCGAGATCCACCCAGCTGCGGGATTGACAGCTGGCTCTGCCTAACCAGAGGCAGAGCCAACTGTGCCCGCCCCCTCCCCCGTCCGTTCTGCCAGTCAGCGCTGGAGGATCGGACAGGGTAGGGGGGAATCGCTGAAGGGAGCCGTGAGTGACATTCACGGCGGCTCTCTGCAGGGATAGATCGAGAAGTGCGCGAGCGACGGTATGTGTTTGCTCACTTCCCGATCTATTGAGCCGACCTGTGACAGTTTCATTGTCACAGGTCGACTCAGATTATGAGGCTGAGTGAAAATCACTCGCCTCATAATTGTCCTTTTTCGCCTCATAACCTGCCTTCTTTTCACTTCCCATGACCAACTTCCCATGTTCATCTTTTATGATGCTGGTATGTTCTGTCCTTTTTAAAAAAATAAAATGAAAAAAAGACAACGAACGTCCGAATCTCAAAAGGGCACAATTTTAAAACACGTGCGGCGCACATATAGGCCACTGGTGCGTTCTGAGCATGCGTGGCAACGTCTTGGAGGCGGTGTGCATGACATCACCAAACGCCAGCGTCAGGTGATGTCATATGCAAGTATGGGTGCCACCATCTTGGACGCAGCAACATGGTGATGCCCATACAAAACAAATTAATATATGCTCAAATATTCTTTTCGCATATTCGGGCATATAATAATTTGTTATTTTGGATTATCATAGATGACGTCCATAGGACAAGATGTTACATAGTTGCATAGTTAGTCAGGTTGAGAAAAGACACATGTCCATCGAGTTCAACCTATAGAGATATATATATTAAAAAAAAGCCTAAACAGAACGTCATACCCACAATTACCCACTGTTGATCCAGAGGAAGACAAAAAAAAACCCTATAAAGCATGGTTCAAATATCCTGATCCCATAAGGCAATCGGATATTCCCTGGATCAACAATCTCTGATGCTTAATATACCAATAAGAACTCAATATCCAGTAATATTCTGTGCATTTAAGAATACATCCAGATTTTTTTTTTAAACAATTAACTGAGCTAGCTAGAACTACGGTAGCTCCTGGGGGGAGTCTATTCCACATTTTCACAGCTCTAACTGTGAAGAATCCTTTCCGTATGCAAAGGTTAAACCTCTCCTCCAGAACGCTGCTCCTCCATAGATTGGGGGTTAAGCATTGCCACTCTAGAACAAGGAGTGTGTCACTAACTAGATCACCAGGTGAAAATAATAGGGAAAAAAAGCCTAAAAAAAAAAAGAAAATGAATGCAGCCACCGCAATTAAAGGATTGGTAAGAAGCAATATATTACATGTTACATGTTCTTAGATAGATACATTTGAAGTCCTTATCTGCATACTTCTGGATTAGTACTTGCATAAAATATATGTAGCTGAAAAAAAGAAATCTAATGCAGCCACTACATCTAAGTGATCTGCAAAAATAGTGCTCTCAGCATTTTTGCGGATCGCACTGGACTGGAACACAGGCATTAATGCAGGCGATCGCACTGTGGGCGAGGGGCCTGCCTGCGCAGCCCACGCCCCCTCCCGCCCCTGAATGCAGGTGTTTTTTCGTTGGTAGATCTCAATGAGCTCGTCATTTGAAAAGTAGATCTCCAGACGAAAAATAGTGGGCGCCCCTGATCTAAGGAGTGGTAAGTTGCAATATTCTTGAACCTGGGTTATCCCTCAATGTATCGTGTAACAGAATTAGCCTTTAGAATTTTAATGTAAATACTACCTTAAAGACAGATTCATCTATAGATTAAGTTTGTTTTTACCATTTTGCAAATCAATGATGCCAAGATTGCTGGTATCTCTGATGAATAAAAGGCCATCACTAAATGTTCCAAAAGTGCCTCCATCGATTTGTGTAAAATAAAAGAAGTAATTCAAGTCGTTGTTGCTCAAATGGTGTATGGTTTGGAGAAGTTGGTATACCAGGTCTGCTGCTATTTCAGGAGCAGAGTTGTTGTAGGAAATTAATGGTTGGGTGCTTGTGCTCACAAACAGGCGCCCGCATGAACCTAAGTACTTTGGAAAAGGCCATCCCTCTGCTCCAGGGAAAATCTAAAACAGCAATAATAAAACATCCAATGGATAACATTTAAGGAACAAAAGGTTAATGTTTACATTTTTATGTTACTATTAATAGCAAAATGCAACAAATACTACCACTGTACAAACTGCAAATCATATGCTACATCTTTTTATTAAACTAGTTTGTGTTGAAGGTTTTTTTTTGATCACTTAATAAAGATTTTAGAAGATTTTTTTTTAGAACAGAGAGATGAGACTGGCTTTCTGTTTGGTAATCCTCCAGAAAAATAATATTATCTGCCATCTTTTTCTTCTTTCTGCCCATGATGGCAGCCAACTCAGGCTACATAGCAACTACATAGCAAATGTGCACAAATGTGCACAAAAATACCATACATTAATAGTTCCACATGTGCAGTCAAAGTTGAGATAACCCCACTATATCTTGATTTTGTGTTCCCAATCACACAGCATACCTACACATATTTTATAAAAATATATTTCTTATCATTTGAATGTTTCTTTGGTGAAGGCCTATGTGTAGATCACAGGCTACTCTGAGCAGTTTGAAGATGAAAATAGAGGGACAAACTGAGCTTCCTCTCATTAACATACAATGCTTCTTACAGGGCTATTCACAAAAGGGAGAAGAGTTTGGAGAAGGCAGGAGAAGTGAACAATCTAGGACAACATAGCTGAACTGGAAAGTGAGCTGAATTGGAGAATTTTTCCAGATCAGCTATGTTGTCCTAGATTGTTCACTTCTCCTGCCTTCTCCAAACTCTTCACCCTTTTGTGAATAACCCTGTAAGTCTTTAAACCTTTGTTAGGACAGACAGTGTTCAAATCTAGTTTACAACTGATAAAATATGCCAGCACAGTACAGACAGGGTTAATTAGAGTATTATTATTTTTATACAGGATTTTTCCTACATTCTCCTCCTTAAGTGACATTAAAGGATAATTTTTCCCCTCCCCCCCAATGTTAATGTTAGCACTTACCTTGAATGACGTCTCTTAATCCGATCTTCTTCTTTCCTGATGTTTTCATCTGTCCCTCCAGCGGTGCGACGGCTCTCCGATCCAGCGCTGACTCCTCTGTCCTTGCAGGCACTTCCGATCCAGCGGTGTCTGCATGCGGTTGCACGCGTCCATAGACTTACCTTGCGTCTCTGCTCGTCTCCCGGCCGAGAATCCGAACTGCGCATGTGCCCGCCCCAAGATGCTTTGCAGTCACTTGAAGAGTTTCGGATTCTCGGGCGGGAGCGCGTAGCGAAAACAAGGTAAGTTTAAACCGATGTTAAAGCGTTTAAAAAAAACAAAAAACGTTTTGCCTATATCTACTGCTTAACTGCAGTCTTTCTCCATTTCATGGGTGCACACAATTTTGAATTCTTAACATGTTTGCTATTTATTTACTCGGCACAACCTCATCTTGTAGATTTGATCAAACATTGGGTGTTATATTGTGTTTATGTGAACTAAAATTAATTTAAAGTTATTTTAAAAGTATTTTTTTACTGAAAAGTTTGTATATTTATATATATATTTGCATTGTATGTATATAGCCTAAAATGTGCATTTTAACATGTGTGCAAAAAAAAAAACCCAACCAAAATTTCTCTGGCAGTGAAACAGTTAAACAAGACATAACAATAAAGGAATTCATAAAATTGTCTTTTTTTAAAGTTTGCTATCTTAGTTCTAGGGATGCACAAAAATGAAATTTTGAGACAGAAATAAATAATAAACAATTGTCAGGCCAAAACCAAAAATTACGTTTTTTTCAACCTTTTTAAAACATTTTTTAAGTATTTTTAAATTATTTTATTTTTATATCACTTTTTCTTTTTTTTTTACTTTACTGTTGGGGGCTTTAGGGAAATATCAGGGGTCTAAACAGACCCTGATATTTCCCTTTAAAAATAGAAAAAGAGATTGAGGACACAGAGATCAGCTGATTGATGAGTGTTTGTACACTGCTCTCCATCCTGAATGGGCTGTCATAAGAGGTGGGGCAAGGCTTGCCTCCTGTAGCAGATTACAGCGCTTTCCTCCTATCACCGCTTTCCATCCTGACACAGGAGAGCTTCGTCTTCTGTAAGATGACAGCTTTCACCGCCCGCACCGCTCTCCATCCTGACACAGTATCCAGAGTCGGGAGAAGAGCTCCGCCTTTGAAAGATGACAGCTGTCACCGCCCACAATGCTCTGCATCCTAACTTCTGTCACCGCCGCTCTGCCTACTGAAAGCTTCTCTCCTCCCCTCTGCGTGCTGGCCGTAGCATCAGAAGACACACAAATGAGCCCCCACCGGGGAGGAGAGAAGCTAGGGATACACTGAAATCATGGCAATTTGACAAAAATTCCATTTTCAGCCGAAATGTTTCGGCGGCTGAAATTTCGATGCATCCCTACTTAGTTCTCAATATTATAATTGCCCTTTGAAATATTGCAGTCTTTTGTGATCATTGTGATTGGGGTCCTTTATTTTCTCATGTGGTAAAGCTTTGAGGTTTCTCTTGATTAAATAATGTTAACTGTTTGGTGTGTTGCAAGTGGGCTGTTATATGATATTGGTGCAGCAAAAATGGATAACAGAAGTATGTGAACTCACTTTAAAGACGGCCTTAATTTCACCTTCAATATTGACTTTCCTGCATTTCACCACAACTGCCAAGTTTCACCGAAATCTCCCAACTTTTGCCATAATTTCAAGTAAATAAAAACTATCTTCCTCGAACTACTCATATTATATCATTAATAAAATCTTTGTTTTAGGTTAGAGGTAAGAGAAAGGAACTATGGTCTAATGGAAAAGTTTATAAAAATGAAAGCCAAGGAAAATAGGGCCATTGCTCATGGAGTTTAGGTGCCAGCTTTCATTCTTTAACCAAGAAAAATAAGACTGAATTGGGGTTTTTTTTATTACTAAAAGCACTTTTACTTATTTATTTATTAATGAGCAATACAGTTATACTATCCTGCTAAGAAAAGATCCCCTATGGATTACCTGTAAAATAATTGGATGAGCGTTGACAGAAAGTGTGTAGAGCAGCCTCAATTTATCCCTGTCAGTTAGATGTGTCATGTACACACTGCCAGCATCAAACACTTCAGTATAACGTCGTATTATTCGATCTAAGAGGCGCTGTGAGGGACAGCGGAGGAACTGCACCGGTAGACCCTGAAAAACAAAAACAGAATTTTTTCTATCTAGTCTCACTCTGCTTACAATTGTTATATATATCATGTGTACTCTTTTATCAGCTACAGGGCTTTGCATAATTGTTTACCCCCTTGCATTATCCCACATTTTGTAATGTTACAACTTGGAATTTAAAGAGTTTCTATTTGGATTTTTTCGTCATGGATGTACATAAAATAACCTATAATGTTGAGGATAAAAAAAAGCATATTTTCTATTTTGTTTACAAATAAAAAAAATGAAAAGTCTTGCTTGCAGTTGTATGCCCACTCTGTGTTAAACATACAAATAAGCTTTGGTGCCTTGACATGAAGTCCACCTGTGGGCAATTAAAGAATCACAAGATCTCAGAATAATCGAACATGTTCACAAAGTGTGTTAGAGAATAGATAAGCATAATGGGATAAAGCTCTGCAGAAGGTTGTGTTGCAAAAGTATTCTCAAACATAGAACACTGTCTTGTTCTTTATTAAAGCCTTTTTTAACTCAGAACTACCCAAAAAACAATTACTATAGTGAAGCTTAAAGTGACTCTAACCTCAGGAATTAGATCCTAAAAATGCATTCAAGTACCCAAGCTATTAACAAAAATTTAGCTTATTTGTGTTAAAATTTGTTACATTATCATTACCTGTTTGATTATTATAGACAGCTCCTATTTTGGGATTCCGTATTTTCGGGGAACTTTGCTTATTATACTTATTTGTGTATCACTCGGCTATAGATCCTCAAATCATCTCTGAAATGATGCTCACACTGTCCTTCCATCTGGAGGGGGGGGGGGTACTTTTGTTCCCCCGTGGTCCCTGTGTGTGTTGTAGAGTAGCCACTGCTATGTAGCTCACCAGACTGCAGTTCACTGTAATAATGTAGCGCACAATACAGCATTTTATAGCACTGTATATAGCACAGGTTAGCAGTGCTGTATAACAGCAACTATCTACCCCTGCAAACAACACTCTGTCAGTTGTCCCTAGCTACTCCAATTTTCCATACACTGACAAAAGGCTGCTGGGAACCATAACTTTTATAGGGAACTCAAGGTCGACCTGAACCTCGACCATGAGTTCAACCATGTTTGAACTCATGGATAACCTAAACCTGAAGCTCATCCCTATTCGGGATGTCTACAGACAGGTCTATACAATGAGATTTATACTGTTACAGAGGAAAATCCACCATTACACTTGCAATCTTTCACTTCTAATATTAAAACAAAGATATATTTGTTTCAATGTTCTGGTCCTTTGTTGACAATAAAGACAACCTTATCAGTCACCATACCTTGGTGTCTATAAAAGATACCTATGAATTTTTGTTTGTCACAATAAAAAAGGTTTAGGAGTTAAACGCTAGTGTGTTTACTATATACAGTCTCCATCAGAATTGTTGGGACAGTAATCTGGACAGGTGGTTAATCTTGGGTTTTAATGATTTGTGAACAGTGGTTAGAAGCTAACTCCATTAGGTAGGCTTAGTTTTATGTAGTCCTACGGTACACCAAGCAATAGAGAGGTGCCACACTACAGATACCATTGATTATGGGCCCGATTATGGGCCCATATACATCGGATTTGTTGCGTTTTGAACCGTTGGGCTGCTATCTATTGGGCTGTGATCTGTTTTTCAATAGATGCTAACGGAGGGACACTGAAAAATGAATGGGCGTGATTGGGACTAGTTCACACCGGTCCGTCACATTTCGTTGCTCTGAAAAAAAAGTAAAGCATGCACTCTTTTTTTTCAGCGCAACGTAATGCAACAGATCCGGTGTGAACTAACTTTATCCTCACCTATTCATTTTTCGGTGCCCTTCCATTAGCATCCATTGAAAAACAGATCACAACACAACGGATTGGAAGGAAATCTGAAGGTACAATTGCAAGTCAACGGACCCTCCGCGATTTCCTTACGATTTTGGTGTAAACAGACCCTAAGGGGGTGATTTACCAACCTAAACACACGCACGCACTAGGTGCGTGTGATTTTTACACAGCAAAATGTATTTATCAACCAAAAAGTCTCTAAAAGCATATTTCCACTAATGCCATATATGGAAATCATGCACATGATGCATATATAATGCTGCTTCACAGTTTAGACAAAAATGGTTAGCTCATGCATTTACATTCCTGCATTCATCAACGCAAGCAACACAATGTAGAGCTAATTTACACAACATCACCTTGCAATTCATGCAGGGCTTTGCACAACACACCTGCTGGGTGTGTACACACTACAAAGGTGTCTAGATTCCACCAATAGATCATGCTGGGAGGGAACACACTACAGAGGTGTATACTTGTTTGTGGCGTGTTTATAAGGTGAGTAAATCAACCCCTAAGGGTTTGTTCACACCATGACCGTTGAGCTATGTTTTTCTGCACACCACTGCACATGTATGGCGTGAACATGGCATAGCAAACAATTGGACATGGTGTGAACCAGCCCTTACTCCGAATCTCCAACAAACTTGGAGTTCAGTACTCCACCACCTTTATTCTGTAATAAAGTACACCTGTTACATTTTAGCATACCATAAGCTGCTCTTTTTCACACATAACTAATCTTTACACATTACACTCATTTTATTAGTGTCATTTCAAAATGTATTTTCTTTTCAAATTCAGTAGACTATTTTTGTTGGGTTTCTGGTATTTGTACCTTTATGAGCAGCTAACATCTTAAAACGGCATTGCATTTCACACACTCTGCAATACATAAAAGTACTTTTATGCAAACAGAAATAGTTTTGCTCTAATTGATAGCTGCGCATGTTTTTTGCTGTTAGGTGTGAACTTTCTCCTTCCAAAGAAAGCATTAACATACTATCTGGAAATGTGTAATAAATCACAGTATTTCACCTTTGTCAAGAAAATGTCCTATTTTTAAAAGTTCCTAGGCTCTAACCATGTAAAAACTAAAGCAAAGCATTTAGAACATAATTTTCATAAAAATTAAAATTAGTCTTCCTGAGCTTCTTACCATCAGTTGTTTGGCATTTTCACCCCAAAAAGCTTTGTGAAAAGAGCTTGATTTTGAGAGATCTGCCTATGACTGTTATCATAAATGTACACTGTTATCACTAATGTAAACTCATAACAGTAACAATACATTTGCCACAGGACTCATTCTTAAAGCAGCTATGTACAGTGCCCATGCAGGCAAAGCAACAAATCAGCTTTAACCCTTTTGGTGCCAGGGCCATTTTTGCATTTTTTTCTAAAATCCACATTTTAGACATGAGAATTACTTGAACCACCCCCAGAATTATATATTTCCTGAAAGCAGATACCCTGTAGAATGTAATGGTGGCAGTTGCAAATTTTTATGTTGCATGATATTAGCCCAACTGCTTATTAAACCCAAAATTTCAGTAAAAAGTTAATAGTGCACCAAAACACAAAACAATACCCAAATTTGTTGCAATGAAAGAGGAGGTTGTGGCTGGTGAATAGTTACCCAACATGCTAATCTTAAAAATTGTGAACACCCATGAATCAGCCAAAAACTATGGTACCCCACATTGTCCATAGGCAGCACTTTAAAAGCCTGTACAATTATTGCTCTGACTCTGGCATAAACGGCGATACCTAACATATGTGGCACAATCATCGTTTTAGTACGTAGGTGCACCTGATGCATGTTTGCATTACAACCCCAATTCCAAAAAAGTTGGGACGCTATATAAAATCTTAATGAAAACAGAATGCAATGATTTACAAATCTCATAGACAAATGTTTAAACTGAGAAAATGTATAATTTTAAGAAAAAAATAAGGTAATTTGAAATTGATGGCAGTAACACATCTCAAAAAAGTTGGGACAGGACCATGTTTACCACGGTGCACCCTCTCCTCTTCTTTTAACAACACTCTGTAAAAGTCTGGGAACTGTTGAGACCAGTTGCTGGAATTTTGGGAGAGGAATGTTGTCCCATTCTTGTCTGATATAGGATTCTAACTGCTTCCCCGTTCCTGGGTCTTCTTTGTAGTATTTTACACTTTAAGATGTGCCAAATATCTCCAATTGGTGAAAGGTCTGGACTGCAGGCAGGCCAGTTAAGCTACTATGAAGCCATGCTGTTGTCATAGATGCAGTATGTGGCTTAGCATTGTTCTGCTTAAATATGCAAAGCCTCTGGATGGGAGCATTTGCTGCTCTGAAACATGGATATATCTTTCAGCATTGATGGTGCCTTTCCAGATGTGCAAGCTGCCCATTCCATACGCACTAATGCACCCGCATACTATCACTAATACACCCCCATACAGTGCTTTTGAACTTAGCACTGATAACAAGCCGGAAAGTCTCTCTCCTCTTTAGCCCGGAGCATGCAGCACCCATGGATGCTGATTCGTATGGCCACAGAATCGTTTTCTACTTTGCGACAGACCAAATTATCTTTTAAATGATCTTTGGCCCAGAGAAAACAGCAGGATTTCTGGATCATGTTCAGATAGCGCTTCTTCTTTGCATGAGCCCATACAGTAATGTCCATCACAGAATCATGTCTGTTTTTATTGCAGTATTGTCTGAGGGCCCGAAGATCGCGGGCATCCAATATTGTGTTTCGGCCTTGTCCCTTGTACACAGAGATTTCTCCAGATTCTCTGAATCTTTTGATGATATTATGTACTGTAGATGATGAAATATGTAAAAGAGAACTATGGGCTAAGTGTTTTTCCCATAGTTCTCTTTAGGGTCACGGGAGGACATATAGCAACCACCTCCTGTGACCCAAAGTTTAGTATATAGCTGGCAGCGCAGCCGGGATAGATCTCGACAATACTGTCGGGATCCATCCAGCTGCGTGAGTGACAGCTGGCTCTGCCTATCTACAGGCAGAGCCAGCTGTGCCCGCCCCCTCCCCGTCCATCCCTCCACTCAGTGCTGGAGGATCGGAGAGGAGAGGGGGGAATCCCTCCTGGGAGTTGTGACTGACAGTCACTACTCACTGCAGGGAGACGATCGAGAAG